TCCACGGAATTGTCTTCCTGGTTGCCTACGTGGCATCCAGGCAAGCCGCGCCCCCGGCGAGTTCTAGGGATGCTCCTGTCCACCATTTCCAGAGAGGGCAAGCCGCGGTTTGATGGTTTTTTTTGAAGAAGGGTCGAATATCATACGTGGACCGTACCTGAGCTGCACTTTGCCTCCTAGCTGACTTTTGATTACAGGATCTTCTTGTAAACTCATGGTTGGCTGTATCCGACTGTGTCCTAACCTCGTCAGGTACTTGAACCTCTAGCAAGGGCTGAACTGGCTGGTGCATCGACGCTTCCTGTTTGCTCAACCGTCTGCGATCCGTGCTCGATACCCAGTTGTTGCTCAGCTTCCCCTCAAGTGGTTTGGTTAGGGAGGGGTTTCCCATTTACCTACGAGAACCAGGGGTTCCAATCCAAATCCAAAAACCACCGCGCTCCAAACCACCGCGCTCCAACCACCAATTCAAGGGAACCTGAGTTGCTGAGTGAACCTGGTTCCCCCTTAAAGGAAACCCCGACTTGGCTCATTCCCTGCCCATCGCGCCAGCAAGACAACCAGTTGCTCAACGCCCCGTCCCCCCCAACAAACAACAACCGCCAGAGCCGACCACGGCCAACCCCTCCGAGCCGGAGCGCTTGATGCCGTACGGCCGCTCACCCAGGGCCTACCAAAAGCCGCGCGGTGAAGGGACGAAGGGTGCACCCAGTGATCAAGGCCAGGCCCCGCCTGCCTCCATCTCTGCTGAGCCAGCTGCTTTTTTTTAAGCCTTAAGAGTTAAGAGTTGTTTCACTTCCGAACGAGTGCGTTGGCCAAAACAAGGCCAAACGCTTTGCTTACCATCAAAAGCGGTCTTCCCAAAAAGTTGAAAGCCCAGGAACCCAGCAGGTGAGTAAGTTGTATACTGCGTTTTCACCCCCGCCAAAGGAAGCCTCCTCATCGACAAGGCGGGAATCGATCGCTGTGTTTTCCGCCGCTTCGGCTGTCGAGCTTTTGCTGGCCCCAGCCTCCACCAACTCGGTGTATCCCAGCGTCTCCTTCTCATCGAGTTCTGAGCCGGGCAAAGCAAATATACCCCACTCGGGTTGTCATGTTGGATTCTTCCGTTCACGTCGGGCAACTGGATTGACCATATGCGACCCTCTTCTTTTGAGTAACTCGCGTGTGTGTAGAAGAACCACTTTGAAGCAGGACTCCAGAAGTGCATGTTGGTAGGCTCTTCCCCCAAAATGGTTTGCAAATCAAGCCGTGTGTGATTGTTGCCGAGTTCCGGGAGGCCCGGGGGAGGCATCCCAAACTCGCTGGGGTTTCGTAGGAGACACCAGGCAAACCTGAGAAAGGAGCAACTGCTTCCCCCCAAGGCACTCATTCCTTTCAATTTGCTTCAGCCCCCTGCACACAAAAAGACCTGCAGCACAGATTCCCTGAAAAAAACCCACCAGTGAAAATATCAGTATTCACTTCATCAAATGGACGATTCATAAAAGGACGGGGTACTGTTTGGAGCCAAGAGACGGGACGCAGAGGAATTGCGAACCCATGACCGGGTTGACTTAAATGGCATTGGCAAACTGGGGTTAAGATCGGAGGGTAGTGGCTGCTTGTTGTGTGCTCCAACCTAGGTGTACCAATGCCACAGCCCAAAATCAAAAGACACGCCGAGGTGCTGTCCGCCAGACCCTTCAACTTCTCCTGGAGCAAACAAACATGTGGACAACGGGTCTCTCAGGGTTGGGCCCATGTGCTTAAACTGGGCTGCCCTCAGATCCCCCGCTAAAGTTTCCATCCATTTCCTGGATGTTCCATCCATGTCCCTTTCACTTTCCATCAGTGTTCCATCCATGTTTCCACCTGTCAATCGTTCCATGAATTTCCAGCCATTGTCCATCCATTTTTGCATACATGTGTTATCCATTCTCCAGGTTGGCCCATGTGTTAAAGCATGGCTTGAGCCGCTATATTTTCAACAACCCCCTTGCTGTATGTCTTTGTTGGGTGTATAAATTTGCTCATGGGTTGAAACAATGGATGCCCCTAGAACGCCCTTTGTATGCCCTGAGAACGCCCTTTACATATCACCCGAAAAAAGGGCGCCCTCACAAAGAGATACACCCCAAATGTCAGGGAGGCATCAAAGGGAACATCGCGCCAGTGAGGTGAGCCGCACGGATTTGAGTAATTCTAGGTCCTCCAGTAGAGAGGTTAGAATCAGGGTACCAACTTTTTGCTGTAGTCTAGCAGGGGAACCCTCCCCCAAAAAAGAAACGGTAAAAGGGCACCTAGCTGGGGGACCTAGCCAACCCAGCCACAACAAATGGACATCATTCCAGGACCGGGCAATGACCTATTTTTTAATGGGTAGTCCACACCAAACCTCCACGTGCCACTGGAGGACCTAGTGCTTCATGGAACGATTGACACTTGGTGGGACTCGGTGACTCGGCCGATTCCTGATGCTCCAGCAGCAGCTTCTTCACGCGCTCGTACTGGTTGTCCACCAACTCCCGGGTCTCCTTGTCGATGAGTTGTCCCGTGGCTTCGCCTGCCGACTTTTCCCCACCAAAAACCACGAGCGTAGGGAGGGGTGGGGGGGTTGGGGTACCCAATTCCATTCTTCCATTTGTGCTTTTGACCCCTGGAAAGAATAAGAACATATTTTCAGTAGTGATAGATTCTCTTTAAAACCAACAGGGGAAAATACTGAATAGTCATTTCACAGCCGATAGCCTGCTCGGGTGGCGCGGCCGTCAAAATCCAAGAGGGGGCCAAACGGACAGCTGACCCAATGCAAAAGTCTCCCTGGCTCTCAGTCGCGGGACCCAGAAGTTAAAGGTCGAAACGGGACCTTGACAAAGGTCAGATCCGGTCCAACACCCAAAGGAGCTGCTTGGAAAAATGAGTTTGTTTAAGTCGAGAATCAACTTGGCCATGTGGGGTACCCAACAGATATATTCAGCAGTATCAAATATGTTCAATCCGATGATCATACTACATCATAATAAGAATAAACACATAATGTGGGAGAGACCCCAGTCATCAAGAGAAGGATTGAAGTTCCTCGAGACCCCAGTCATTCCGGTACTGTAACCCTGAATTAGTTGGCGGTTTGGATTGATGGTTTGGATTTGGAATGGAACCCCTGGTTCTTGTGAGGGGAATTGAAAAACACTGAAATTGCCCAAACTAACAACAAAAGCCACCAACTACCAACACTCACACCAATTCATTTCTTGGAAGTACAAAACCGCTGGGGAAATTCAAGCCACCCCACCCAACCACCGGGCTATCAGAAGGAAGCTGCCCAAATGCTCAGATCCGCTGAGCTGCTGTAGGGCTTGTAGAACTGCGAACTCGCGTCATTGTTCCCAAAGTTCAGCAGCCCGATCTTCTCCGACATCCCGTAGTTCGCGACCATGGCCTCGGGCCGCGTTTTTCTTCTTATTTGTTTCCCATAGGTTTCGTGTGGTTTTGAGATCCAAGAAAACTCATGAGCTACTTGGTTGGTTGCAGTGCAAAAGGAAACCAACCGAGCGATTTGGAAAAAACCCAAGACGGACACTTTGAAGGCACCAAAAAAATAACTGGAACAAAATGCAGGGTAAGGCAAAACTCCAATTCTAAGGAGGTCGGCCCCCTTGGAAGACTCCCCATCCATGTCACACCCCACTCTTGCACCCCTTCAGGCGCCTCGGGCGAAGCCTTGAGGCCTTCCAACATGAAGGCTGAAAGAGGCCTTTCCGCCCCTTCAAACCTAAGGCTATATATGAACCCCCGGTATGAACCCCTAGTTACTTGAACTAGCCGTGGCTATGACCTGCTTAAGAAACTTACAACCATGCTAGCTTCTAGTATGACTATCCTGCCCACTTAAAGTGAAGGATGCTTGTCTGGGTGCTAAATAGGTGGTCTGGGCTGTTATTGTTTAAACTTTCCCTTTTTGCTAATGCAAACGTTCTGTGGATGAACAAAACCCAGTTGGAAGTGTTTTTTTTTTTCCCGTTGTTTAATTACAGGGTTTCATCCGTTGCAAGTAACAAAGAGGCGGATTCCGTTCATACACCGCTCCCAGGACAATGCCCGCGCTCAACTTCGAGCAAACCATCCGAGCAGCATGCGCCATCTTGGTGACCTGTCGAAGCGAAAACCGGGCGCCAGACCCGCAGGTGATTTCCATGCGGGAGAAAGAGAGCATGCGACGTTTGCTTGAGGGAAGAAGCCCCCTTGACCCTGTGCCTACATGGGGAGCTCTCCCAATTTCCTATTAAATTCAGAATGAGAAACCAGGAGCAGGAAACTCCTCCATACCAAGGTTGTCCCATTGAGGGATGTCCCTTTGAGGCAGCCCTTTACTTCTGGGCAGCTAGCCCAGTCAGAGTGGTTTTTTTTCGAACCAACCGAGATCCCATGCTTGTCAAGGGTAGGGGGCTTTGGACCCCTAGACAGAGACTAGAAAGGATCCCGATTAGCCCACCGTCTGAGTTATACTTCTTGGATGGTTTTTTGGAAGGGAAACCAAAAGGACACCAAGCCGTTTTGCCGATTCCTCTTTGAGACAAACGCATATGGGGTGTATTAGTAGGGGGGTGTCAATTTCTGGATTTAGTGGTTGGAATCAAACCGTTTTTGGAGCTGCCCCCACCCCCATGTTAATAAACTGGGGTTGGCTAATCTGGGGCCAACATTCTATATACTGATCTGAGCTCAGCATTGCCGCCAATAGTGATGAACCCCCACTAAAAGGGGGACACCTCCTTATTCACCAGCCAGCGGTTTATTAATCTGGGCTCAATACTACTGGTGTCAATGTGGGGCTGACAACCTGCCTCCAGTTGCTCAAGTCCCCTGGGGAAACAATACAAACAAACATATTTTCCAGCAGAGACATCGACCCCCTTTAAAATCCCGCCATTTTGTCTTTTTTAACCCCCCCCCCCCCCCCAAAAAAAAAAAGAAAAGAAAAAAAAACTAGAAAACACAAAAACTAAATGGAAGCCGTCCCCCGTCCCCCGTGATGCCCGTGATGCCCGTGATGCCTGTGGCCCGGTCGCCCAGCAGTCTCTCTCGCGCCTTGTCCAGGTCATCGGAGGCCCCCGTGGAGATCTTCCCCACGAAGAGCTCCTCCGCCGCGCGGCCGCCCAGCGACACCGCCTCGATCTCGCGCCAGGCGCGCTCGCTCCAGGCGCCGTGGGGTGTTGGGTGGCTCCAAGTGAAGTAGGGGGAGGGGGGTTGAAGGGGGGGGCAACAAAGGCTTGCAACTTCCAAGGGCAACCTTCTTTTTGGCGGCATCTCCTGGCTCGCCCAAGAGCGCGAAACGCAACTCGATTCTACATGGACATGTGTGTTTGGGCCCATTTGACCCCCGAAGGGGCTGCGGTTGAACTAGGAGTGGATAATCGGAAACATATCGAAAGTAATTGTCCACTGAAATGGTCATTGGAAAAAGTAGAAGCAAAGTCCATGTTTAGTTTGGTCTTTACTGAAGTGATAAAAGAACCGCGAACCAGTTCAACAAGCAAGCCCAAAATAAGTCGAGCTCCCCTTGGTGCCTCCTCAAAGCAACCCTGCAGGTGCCAAAGCAAAACAAAACACCCCTGTGAAAACCGTCATTGGGGCCTGGTACCCTGAACCCCTGCAGATTCCATGACCCGGGTCAAAGTTGCCGCAAAAAGCGGCTTAAGGGAAATCCGAGGTTGATTCCGTTGGTGGACCCACCGAAGAACAGCGCCCATGAAGCGCACTGCGCTCAAAAGCTAGCTGATAGCCAAGGCACAATCTTATCGAGAATCGCCTCCTGCAAGGCTGCGTGGAGAGTGCTTCACTTCATAGCGGTGCATCAATTTTTTGGGGACGCCGTTTGAATCAGTCTTTGCGTTCTTCGGTGTCTGGTGGAGATGTTCCCCCTGCAAAACTCCACCGGGCGATGGCCCTGGGGCTCCGAAGGATTCATTTTTTCTGACCAAGTCCCAAGGAACGAGACCTTGAGGCCGAAAAAAGGCCTCACGGATTGGTCGCTGAACCAAGGGCCTGTGGGGGGCGTTGCTGAACTCACAGCCTCCCTTGTTATGGGGCCCCTACCATGCGTGGCTAGAGAAGCATCTCGGGTGGCGGCTTTCCTGGAAATGCCCAGGACCACCCCAAAAGAGTAGACACAAACAAACATATAAACATGCACACGCATGCACATGCGTCCCTCGATGTCAAAGCCCGTTCAACCCAAAGGCGCACACCTGGTAGATATTCTTATCATTGTCCAAAGCCATAGGTGTACGTCCCCCTAGGTTGTAACCGCGGTAAATCTAGCGACTTTCCTGACGTACCCTGCCCCTCTTGAAGCTCTTGGACGCACGAGTCCCTATGTTTCGCAATTGGAGGAGTTCGAAGAATCAGATTCCCTGAATTGGGGGTCATGCTTAAGGTCTGGACCCTGTGCAGTCATAAATTGTAGTCAGGGAGTTTTCAGGCAGCTCGGACAGGATACACTGAGCCCACCTCCGATCAAGCTATTTGTTTGCAGCTTGCTTCTGAACCCCGGCCTCCAGTGGTGCTCTTGCTTCCTTATTGGGGGAAGTGACCTTTGACGACATCATCTTTGAACTGTGACTCAACAAAACCAAAAACCGGACAACCCAGCATGTTTCCATCCGGTCGATTTGCTTGCCGGCAACAATACTCCGGGCGATTCGATCACTCCTCTGGCTGGTGATCGGAACCCTCCATTTTGCTCGCTTGCTCGTCGGCCAGTGGGTACATGGTTAAGCCCTGCTCGTTTGCTCGTCCCGCAAAACCAGCCCGTCCTTGGAGAAAAGGCTCATCTCTGCAGGGAGGTACTGAGCAAAGCCCAAAGCCCCGCTGGACCGGGGCTGGATGGAGACTTTCAGCAGCGGGTCCGCATGCTCCAGGAACCAACCTGGCTTGCTGCCAGCAAAGTGCGAATGAGCTTAGCTTCCTTTCAAACCCCCGACGCAAAGATACCCTACAAGAAGACATACCCATATCCTGAACTGGCGCATGGCTTCGCGTGAAATTGTCCTGTTCGCTCTTTGGGTCCCAGCTCTCTGCTGCCTGGGAGGGTGCTTTGTCAGAGCTCCTGAGGCTTCCCGTGTTGCCAATGCCCTGTGCACACCCTTCAGTCATGCAAGTCCCGCACCCCAAAGAACGCGCGAACCCTAGAGTTGGGACCCTTGCCCAATAAGCCCGTACCTTTCCGCGCGCATGGGTCGTAATGTCTGAGTCTTGCATTCGGCCCTTGGCCAACCGGTCTTCTGCACCTCTGACTTCTGGCCCGAAATTATCCCCCAAAGGGAATAAATTCACTGGGCGGTGTCCATTGAAACTGCTACTAAACGAAGGTTCCAAAAAAGGGACTCGGAGTCCGCTGCCCGTGAAGCTGAGCGAGACGAGTAAGGCAAGCATTCCGACGCTGAGGCCTGCCACTGCATGTCCGGACTCGTGGATGGCCACGGTGCGCTTATCGTCCTTGCTCCTGCGAAACCGAAGCCAGTGCCTTTGCCGCAAGCAGCAGGCAAATGGGTAGCATAAGTATGGTTATGCCCTGCTTGGGGGACTTGTAACCATGGATTTGGTGGGCTTCAACCATGGTTAGAAACAATTTGTTAAGTACCCTTCAAGTACTTCCAGCATAGTAAACCAACCATGCACCGAGAAACGTGAAATTGCTGTAAACGGCTTCCTTGCTCGCTTACTTGCAGTATTTTGGGCATCTACCCTATGTCGCGCTATGTCAGTTCCTTGCATGGACTGGTGTGAAACTGACACGGACTTGCTTCTTTACCAGCCAGGTTACTCCCCAATTACCCGTAGACTATTGACCGAACCTTGCCGCGGCACATAAGGGAGTGATGGTTGTTGGTCAAACTACCATCACTGCGAAAAAATCGCCAAACCCCCCCCCCCCCCCCCTCCACTTCGCGCATAGCAATGCACGTTGGCAAGCTACTACGACTGAAAATCACAACCAGGTAAGGAACCTTCATGGGAGCTTGTTTTCGTGCCAAAAGAACTCCTATTTTACCACAAGAGAAAGCCTTCTTATTGGGGTCGCCACCCCTGGCGTTCTTTATAGGGTTGGGACAAGCAACGTCGTACGTCCCCCTGTGTTGTGGGACATTTAGTGAGTGCCCCCGGCGTCATTCACAAATTCATGTTGACCGCACCCTCGTCAAAGAACAAGCATGATTGGCTTCCTAATCCCACATGCACTACCCGCCACGTAGATTTGCCTGGCCCTTATAGAATGGCGACAAAAACAAATCCTTCAAGTGTTGCATTGTCCCATCCCTTACAGGGGCTTCAGGAAACTCTATATAACATAATCTGCCCCGGGTTAGTAAGTGGCTAGCTTGGGGTATAATCCCCTAACAAGTTTAACCCCACTTCGGGGGACTGATGTCGTTACAACCAGGTTACCAACATACTAACTTGGCAAATCGAACACCCTAGGCACTTGGTCTGAGGGTAGGAACTCAAGACCTTCGAGTTGAGGGCCTACCAGGGGTACAGCCAAGAAAGGTTACGCTGTTGAGAATCAGAGGCTGCATGCATGAACCGTTTCTCCCCCCTTCCCAGTTTATGCGATACCTTAAGTCTTAAGGGACTCAATGTATTCCTTAGGGGTACTCTCTTAGGGATGCATGTCATCTAAGGGATTCTGACAACATAAGGACTCTATGAACCCCCCAGTTTTTGGGATACGCCCAAAACAACTCTATGAAGGCCTAATTCAACAGACCCTGGGGGCCCGAGAAATAGGGTCTGCCAAACAGATCCGAGGCGCATCAGCGAGTTGTTCTTCGGCAGGCCCCCAATGACCCGCTCGGTGGCGCGCTCGAAGTCGTCCATGGCGACGGAGGAGGCAGCGCGCCGGGCCGCGAAGATGGCGGCCTGGCGCGAAACGAAAATTTAACACCGCTTGGAGAGCGTGCCTACCTGGAGTCTCCATGGCCCTTTAAAAATGGGGCCATTACCCAAAATAAAGAGGTCATGGACCCATTTTTAAAGTGTCATAGAGACTCCAGGTACAACCATTCTGTATTTAAACTCACTTCCCGAGCGGATGGCGCAACACGAGTCCAAACTTGTTATTACCATTAAGATGGTCTTCCCAAAAAATCAAGTCTAGGAACTTCAGGATCAAGTCCAGGAACTCAGGATCAAGTCTAGGAACTCAGGATCAAGTCTAGGAACTCAGGACCAAGTCTAGGAACTCAGGATCAAGTCTAGGAACTCAGGAAGTGAGTAAAAGGGCAAAGCACTTTGTAAATGGTTAGTAAGCATTGTTATGCCCTACTTGGGGCTCTTGTGACCGTGGCTTTGAGGTATAATCATGGATAGTGTTTGTCAAGTACCCACCCCTTCAAGTACCTCCGGGGGATGCCCTAAACATTGAAAGTAACCACCCATACACCCCAATGCTTTTGGCCAATTACAGTGCATTAGAAGGTGTCCTTCTTCCCTGGCACAAAACAAAGGCTTCGAGGTAGGCAAAAAGTGCTACACTCGTGGGAACTCTTCTGGGGCCACTAGACATGGACCATGGAAAAACCCAAAGGTTAAAAAGGTCGCTCTTGACTCCGGGGTGGTCCAAGCAAGCCTGTTTGCTGTCCGGACCCCACCGAAAGGAGGGGTCAAGGAAAGGGCTTTACATAGGGCTGATCACTGGGGAAAACACACCAAACAATCGACTTTCCCACTTGGGAAACGTGCCCCATGGTCATTTGGGGGCCAGGAATGTTGACCAACCACCATTTGCCAAGCCCTTCCTATGGCCCTAGGAGCCACGGAGCCATGAACCCGTGTCCGATCTCAACCAAAGCCCCCCCCCGCGTCGAAAGGCCCCCAGCCCCCCCCCCCCCGCGCCTCGTTGCAGACGTTGGAGATGTCCGCGCCCGCGAAGCCCGGAGTGAGAGCCGCCATGCGCTTGGCCACGTTCTCGCGGTCCAGGCCCTCCCTGAGTCGCGCGGCCAAGTCTGCACCACATGGTCATCACACGTCCAAACAATCAAACACCTCCATATGTCAAACTACCCAAAGGATGGTGTTCCGGGGCTCCCCTGAACTTAAACCCTGATTTTGTCAGGCACCCTCAAACAGTTTGGCTCCCCAAACTACTCCAAGTCATGGTTTCACTCTTGGTCTCTCTTCAAACCCTGATGGTTTCATATTTCTCTCATGGCTTTTCTCTTGGTCTCCCTTTGACCCTCTGTTTCGGTTGAACCAGCTGCGGACCCACCCCAAGCCAAGCTGATGGGATCCACCAGCTTGCTGGTCGCTCCATCCGCGGTTCCCAGGGCCCCCTGCTCCAACTTCAGAGGCTTGAGGTGCACCATGTAGATCTGCTCCCGCTCCGACATGTCCGGCCTTCCAAAGAACCCACCGAAAACCCCTCCCCCCCCAAATGGTTGGTTCCGGAAAACCAAAAAAAAACACCCGTTTAATACGGGTGCGCAACAAGAGCGCAATCTGGAGAGCCCTCTCTTCAAAGGTGAACCGCCCCCCCCCCCCCCCGTATTTTCTGACCCTTTCCCAAGGGGCCAATCTCCCGCTGAGCCCTTCCTCCTTGGACCGTGCAAAACTTTGGAGCCTCAACAGGAAGAAATTGGAGAGCTGTTGTTTGCCCTTCTTGATCTTGTTCCTCCCTGTCCTTGAAGATGATCGCGAGTGGTGTTTATATGGGCAAACGTGGCTGTAGTAGATTATCAGGCCAAACCAAAACCACCAATGCATCACGTTTAGTGTAGCAAAGATTGTAGCAAAAGAACTTCAAGGCAAAACCCAAACTCAGCCAACATGTTGCGTTTCATGTTGTAGCAACCATTGCGGCAGAAGAAAACCAAGACAAAGCCCGTGCTTTTCTCCCCAGCTGAAGGTTTCTTAAAGGTGGGCCAGGTTCTACTTTGAAAGACTTCCCCTATCTTGACACGTGCACACACTCGCAGTCACATGTCTCTCCTTGGTTTGGACGGCCCATCGGAAGGCTGTGGAGATCGAAAAGTGGATCCGACCCTTTGGCTGACGTCGGAAGGGGAGCAAAAACAAACTTTTGGCCAGTTAAGTGGATTTGGATTTCAACCACTGAACCACAATAAGCAAAAAATGTGAAATTTGTTTCCCAACAATGACCATGGAATGAGTTGAATGAGTTTGCCCTGACGTGGTACCCAACTCGACAGACTCGAACATGGCCGTGTCAGGACACGGCTGTGGCAAGCTTTTTGGGGATCCAGCCAAGGGCGATGCTTCGCGGACATTGTGATTCATCTATTCATATATATATATATGTATTTATATATATATATATATATCTATATATCTATATATCTATATATTCATATACATGGCTAGCAGGGTACTCAGCCCGGAGTGAGGCTCAATGTGGGCAGTTTAAAGAGTACAAACAGTTTAACCGTTGAACCGCCCATGGACGTTGGGCACTGGGACCAAGCGGGAGGCCGCATTGACCATGGCCGACGCCGGATCCTTTGCCCTGAAACGGTGGGTACACGCGACTTAGTTTCAAAGTGTAGTCCAGAAACTGGGGGACATTGGGGGACAAAACAAGAAGCAGAACAGAACGGGAAAGCAATCTGTGAGTCTTGTGGAACTAAATGGAAAGAGAGGCAGGCCCCTCGGGTCATCTCGTCGCCACAAATTCACCTGGTGAAGCCTCAAATTGCCAGTGTCAATGCTGTCAAAACCGGTGGAATCGAAAGGGGTAGCCACGTTACGACATGGGGGCAGCGAGGATCTTGTGTGGGGCAGGGTTTTGTTTTGGTGGCGTACGACCTACATTCCAGACTCCAAAACTTGGGCGGTGGGATAGCTCCATCTGCTGTGCCAAGAGGCCTGTCGATGGCAATCTGGCGGTCGAAGCCTTGTGGGCAACTGCCCTCTTTGTGCCATGCTGCGTAACCTACCGATTCATGTGCCAGGTGCCAGGAAGACTGGTCAGTCCAAGGCTGCAACCCAAGGTAGCGACAACATGGGTCAACCTTTGGGCAACTGAGCCATTTTTGCGCTTCTTCAGTCGCTCACATTTTGGAGGCCAATTCAATTCAGTGGTGCCGAGAGTGCCAGTCGGATATTGCCAGTTTAGATCCATGCTTCGTCTCATGTCTTGAATAGGGATTTTGCCCTTGTCCTGAGCGGGCTGCTTGCCATAATAAGCGGTCCTCCCAAGTCAGGGGAAGCGGATCATTCCCAACAGCAAGTTTGAGTCAACATGTTCGACCTCTATTGTCAATTGCTTCAACAGCCTTTTGATACTCCTCCAAAGAAAGGCCGGGGCATGGTTGTTTGATGTTTGGCTCACGATGTGGTCAAAAAGCTCACCCGCCCGAAACGCGGCGACTCAAACGGTTCCAAGGAGCGCCCGGGTCGCAGCAGGGCGTTGTCCAAAATGTCCACGCGATTGGTGCCTCACAGGGTTTGCAGTCTACGTAGTCGGCACATCAGAAAGATTCAAAGGCATAGGGGTCCTTTCGGGGGAAATAGATGGCCCTGGTAGATGATTAAACCACCAGGAAAACCAGGGCCATCTATTTTTCTACCAAAACAAGCAAAAAGGACACCTACGTTCAAAGGGCAAGCCTTGCCTGCCAGGACCACTACGCCGGTGGAGGAATTGAAGCCGTCCATCTCAACCAGCATCTGATTCCTCGGATCCCAAGCCTCATCAGTACTTAAAGTTATGGGACTTAGTGAGGAAGTATGGTTATGACTCACTTGTGGTTGTCAGCCCCCTAAGGTTATCAAGAAGTTCCCAAGCCTGGCCCTTTCTTGCGCCCAAACAGCCTGAGAAAATCATCCATCACCCGGACTTCTGACCGAGGCGCAGGGTGCTTTCGCGCTCGTCGTTGCCCCCGGTGAAGCCCCCCTTGCCGCGCTTGCGCCCGATGGCATCAATCTCGTCGATGAAGATGATGGACGGCGACTCGGGAGTTGCGTCGCGCGTCGCAAGACTCCGCATGCGACTCCGGTGGAGGTATGTCCCAAAGGGTCCTGGTCCTCTTTGTACCCTAAAAGGGATGGCTGTTGAAGGAAAAAGGGTCAAATTACATCTTGTAGAGGGTTCAACTTCCCTTTAAAGAGATGTTTGTCTTCGTGCAAAAAGGGGGGCAAAGTACCTGCTGAGAATCATTGTCTGATGAGCCTTAAGAAGGCAATCCCCAAATAAAAAATATATTCCAAACCACCTTGCTAATAAGTGGGGGTTTATACATCTGGGTGCAAAGTTTGTTTGACGCAGGATTGATTGCCCCTGGTTGAGTTGAAAAGGGGTGTTCTACGCCCCCCCGCCCCAAAATCATTTGACAGGTTGATCAATAACACTGCGGGTCCCGGCCTTTAGGGAAACAAGGCAAGCCCAGCACCCCCCCTCCCCCCCGCAAAAGAAAAGAGAAAAAACACAGGTTCCAAACACCCGAGGCGAGTTCTTTGTCATCTAAGAGGATCGGAACAGCAAGGGGGCCCTTGAGACCAATTGCAACCTCAGCTCTGCCGAAAGGACCCCACAAATGAAAGGTGATCACCTTATGGTTGCCGAAAGGGGCCTAGCCAAAAGAGGTCATTTCAGGTCGATTCGTTTTGGGCACTTTGAACAAGCGCTTTGTTGATGCCGGTCATGGCCCAAGGCATTTTTGAGGCGAAGCGAGGCGCATTGTCCCGGGCTTGCTTAAAGAGGTCGCGGACTCGGGAGGCGCCCACGCCCACGTACATCTCCACAAAGTCAGAGCCGCTCCTTCGTGCGACGTAAAAATCCGGCGTGTTTCTTTGGCGGGGGAAACCTTTTTCGTGTCGTGGTTTGTTGGTTTGGTTGGTTGGTTGGTTGGTTGGCTGGCTGGCTGGCCGGGTGGTTGGTTGGTTTCCCTCGTGATTGGTATGTCCTTCTTTCGACCTCTTTTTTGGAAAGGGTCTGCCCCTAAGGAACAAGGATGCAGGGTAGGTGATGAATTACTCCTGTGAAGCAGGGACTTTGGTCAAAATGGTTTCGTCGTTCCTTTTAGCTTCCAGCATCAACCGAGACTTCAAAAGGCTGCCCACACTCACACGCGAGTTCGAAAAACCTCATTCGCGCACCAAGCCGCATGGAATAGAAGGGGCAGTCCGCTTCACCAGCAACTGCCTGCCGATGGCCGACCGAGAATGGCTCGGACCGAATTCTGATTTGTTCAGGTCCTAAGCGGATTGGCCAAACAAATGCACAGTTGTTCAAACAAAAGTGGGTCCCAAAAAAAGCAGGTGGGCCAGTATGGGTGTGAGATCTTCATATGGGACTCGACTCGTCCACGTCCAACTCCAGCGAGTCTTTGCTCATTGGGCTCCTGCGCGGTTTCTTTTCAGACACTTTCCAGCAACAAAAGCTGAGACGTTGGCAACTCATCAGCAACATGCTCTTGTAGGAAGGCTAGGATGACAAACCTATAGTTTACCCACTGACAATGGAAGACAACAACCCGTTTCGGGATTGACAAGGGAACCGGCCACAAAGAACTTCAAGCAATCCACTGAACTGGGTACATACCCAAAAGAACCTAGAAAACACAAGTGATGGGGCTGGAAACTTGATCAACCGGCTGCAAGCGCAACACCGCGACTTCACTCAGCCTCCCCTAAACTGGAGATTTTGTGGTGGAGGTCAGGGGTGGTGGCCTGCGAATTGACTCCACAAACTAGGATGCGCCCTAATCCCCCCCAAAACAAAAAATACACCACGGACTAAGCGTTGCCTGCGTCGCTGAACATGCCATGCAAAGAAGCAACACCCCCCCCGCGACGAACAAAAACGTGGGGAGGCCCTCCACATGTAATTTCCCCTGTTCTGGGAGACGAGTGGGTAATGGTCCTGCATTGGAAGCTAGAGCGCCCATGCATGCAACAGTACGTAGTTAGACAAGTTCCTAGGTCCTCCAGTAGAGGTTATATAGAATAAGGGCACCCTTTTTTCTGTACTCTGTTTTAGTAAGGGAACCCCCCCCCCAAAAAAAAGAAAGTAAAAGGGCACTATTGGGGGACCTAGGTTCTGAACGCCCCAGGCCATGATGGGAACAAACATGCGGCTACGGAGGCATTGCAATGGCTGGTTGGCGTGTGATGTCGAAAGTGGCCCAATATGTCCCAATGAACAAAGACTCTCACACTTTTGATCGCGTCTGGACAGGGACTGGGCAACGAAAAGGCCAACAGGCCAGCTTGAGACTAGCCTAGGAGCAAAAGGCACCCAACATCCCCAGCTTGCTCAACCTCCAACCCTAATCTAGGATTGGCATCTATTCTACCGTCTTGCTTAGTCCAAGGCAAAGATGCAAGCTGGTACCACACTCTTTCGGCCCAGTAAGGCTTGACGCCAGCAATTTTGGCGGAACAACCGGGCACGCGGAAAGTTCCCCTGGCAGCGGATTTTCCGGCGCACACAACCCCGCGCCTTGGCCAAGAGGGTCTTCCCGGTGCCAGGGGGCCCGACGAAAAGCCCACCTGACGCAGGAAATTTGCCAAACCTTGGTTGCTCTTGACCCCCCTGCAAAAAGTTTAACTTTTTGCGGGTTTGGTGGAAACCACCTTTATTTTCCAAAAAGTTAAAGTCTAAAGATCCAACCCAATAGCAGTCAAGAAACACCCACCAAAAACAAGGACTGCCAACTTCCTGTCGCTGGGATTCTGAGACTTGTTTGGGAAAAGTTGCATGCTGTTGAAAAACGTCCTACACTTTTGGGGGCCGAACATGGTTCCACTCTTCCTGGGTGGTCCAAGTGCCATTGGAGTAACAAAAGGTCACAACCGTGTTCCAAACATATGAAAGCTTCCCCCTACCATGGGACGTCCCCTAGCAGTCAAGGGTGTAGTTACTAATCCTGGCTTCCCATTCTTGTTTGGGCGCTAACCTGCAACAAGCTCAGACATGAAAGCTGGCAAAGGCATGATGAGGCATGCTTTGGTTGCTGCAAATGCGATTTGCTCAAAGAATCGGGAGAGCAGCATTCTTGTGGAAGCAACGCTTCGGGGGTGCTTATTGGCTCAAGGTCAGGGGGAATCAAGGAAGCTTCTGCCATTTGAGCAACAAATCCCATAATATCCCATATGAGAGGATACTCTTCTTGGGAGTTGCTCCCCTTTTTGGCTTCCATGCAACTTTTTCCGAAAATGATATGGTGCCAACGGACCGCTGGCCTGTAGCCTTCCACCCTGAGCCAGGAGTGTCCCTTGCTTGCCAGGTGCGGCTGGAGAACGCCTTTCTCGGGTCCATTCTCTCACTTCTTGAGGCTGGCCCTAAAACAAGTCCAAACAAATGGCGTTTGCCACTAAAATGATCTCAAAAAAGTTTGAAGTCCATAAACTCTATAAGCATTCTTACTGGGAGTGCTGCCCCAGGAGAAAAAACAAAAACGGATTTAGAGGGTGGAATCCACTGAGCCACTGGGTCGAAACCCTGGCGTCGAAACGGTCGGAGAAAAAAATGGCGGAACGGCGGAACGGGAACGGCCACCCCGCCTCTGGGAACGCGAGCCCCCAACTTCTCGTACTTCTTTGGCTCCTTCAGAAAATCCACAAACTCCACGACTTCGGCCTGGCAGTTGCTGCCGGTTTGAGGGTGGGTGGGTGGCTGGGTTGGGTTGGGTTGGGTTGGGTTGGGTGGCCAACTCCAAAGGGAGAATGGAGCTTGTCAAAGAAATGTGATCTTGAACTGGTTTGAACTGCTTGCTAACTTACTCCCGTCGATTGGTCAGAAAAACTAACCAGGCATGTTTGCTTCACAACGTTTCTTCCCACAAAGCAACTAGTGTGTGTGTGTGTGTGTGTGCCCATTTCTTTCCCCACACAAGTTGTCCAGAAACTCGGCAAGTCAGACCAGGGCTTGGCCAAAAAACGTTTTCCCCAACTATTGGCAAAGGGTCTTGATGGGAAGACCGCCATAGAAGAGCATGATTTAGCCGTCGTGTCCTCAGACAGTTGCTATTTGATCAGACTTGTAGTGGCTTGAAGAACTCATTTCCCAATGGTCTTGATGCTGCCCCCTCTGCGACAAAAAACACATTTTTGAAATAAAATGGGCAATTTGCCCAGAGACGATGAACTCAACGCGTTGGTCATCCCCACCTGAACCGACAAACATGCCCCCCTCCACTTCATACATTGTTTGCCAGGAGGGTCCAAGTGCCCTTTGAGGATGGCTTCTGGAAGGTGGAACTGGATAGAAAGGGACTCCTTCCGTTTCCCTTCCGTTGATCAGGCGCAAAGATCATCAAACAGTTCACCCCTACAATCATGACTCTATGCGCCTTTAAGTTTCCCTTGCATTATCCGCAGTCCGGTTAAACACTGGGACCCGGCACGTCCTCCGCCAATACAGGGATCGCCGTTTCCAATTTTCTCGTCCCAACAGGGAAAATGGAACTCATGGAGATCAGAAGTCGAAATCCTCGTCCCCGTATTCCACGTAGCGGGGAGGGGGGGGGGGGGATTCTTTTACACTGATCCCAATTGCCGGACCCAAAATATTTTTGGGAGATGCGGGATGTCCCAATTTGATAGACCGCACCAAAGAAATCCACCATGGAATCCGTTCTTCTATATTTGGTTGCGCCCCTGCCAAAATAGATAATCAAGTCAGTGAGAGGTTTGGGGACAACAGACAGGAGTTTATTTATGGGTCAACTTTGCTTGGCTGCTGTGGTGTGGCTCCAATGGACAATCCACTGCTTCAACCAAAAGTTGAAGTCCAAAGACCAAAGATCCGATACCAAATAGCCATTAAGATTGACACATCTGTTTCAGATGAAATTGAAGCTTTGTTTCACGGGTGCTCTCCCTCTTGCTGGGAATGACCTTCCGGGTTTTGGAAAATCAACCGGAAGGGAATTTTCCTCAAGGAACCCCCCAAGGCTTCTTTTTTACGGGTCATCCCATGTCTCATTCTCTGCATCTCTCGAACCAGCTCGAGTTTTTCTGTTTGATCGCATGCCTTTTGGGAAAACGATACCGCGTGCAAGGATTTCCTGTAAAGGAAACCATGTCTAAATATTACCTGCTAAATGGCTGTGGGTCAAAACACACGGTACCATTTTGGGGTGGGTGCACCACCCATTTCGGTCTATTTTAGTGGTTGGATTGAGATGTTCAGTGGGGGCTAACCGATTTGGATTTTGACCCATGGCCAAAGAAGTCCGCATCCCTTCTCCGGTATCCCTCTAGGTGCTCCAGTAGAGAGGTTAGAGTAAGGCCACCTTTTCTTTATGTTGTCTATTTTAGTAGGGGAATCTTCCCAACCAAAAAAGGGGTGAGAAAGGGCACTACTGGGGGACCTGCTTCTTTGCATTTCTCCGCCTTGGCTTGCTCCAGGCCGGCCACGTCGATGAACTTCGTCTGGGACTTCAGGTCCTTCTTTCCGCTCGGGAAGGCCTCCGAAGGAACTTCCGAAAATTGTCCGGGGTCGGATTCTTCGCGCTGGTGCGATAGGTCTAGGAAATGACAACGAGTCCGGGTGTTGGGAAGGAACCCAGGCGGTGGTTCCCTTGCAGGAAACCACCAGTTGGATGGTGTATCAGGGGGTTTTCTTGGGGTCATGCCATTTCTCATTCCCTGAGCACCAGCAAGTCATTGTCTTCCGAGGAGACCTGGTTGAGAGGGCTTTAAAGGGGAAAGAAACCAAGAGGCAACCGCCCAATTCTTTGGAAGGGGGTTCCCCTGCTTTGTGACAAGCCTATGTGTGGTCAAAAACTCGGAGTCTGGGGGTCGTCATGGCTCCCTTCTTCTCACTCCCGCGGATGGGCAAAAGAAAGTCTGAACTTCTCGTTCGCCACTAAAATCGTCACCCGCCCACACCCCCGCCCCCAACAAAGAAGACAAAGCAACCCAACTCCAGGAAGTTAGGAAGTGAGGTGGTTGTCTCCCCCCACCCCCCCCCCACCCCCCAATTGAGAGGTTGATGCCTACCCCAAGCGCTCCGAAATCCTGGATTTAGGGGAAACAAAATGGTCCTCCTCATGTAAAGCAACCAACGAAAACCGAACCAAGTTTCCGGCTCTAGGGGGTGATCATCTTTTGGAGGCCTGTATAACCTGTTTTTGTTCGTGCACGGCGGGAAAGAGGGCACAAAACATTGCACTTGCTTCATAATACGAACCCTGCCTTGCAACTCAGACATCCAATGTAACAAACACACTGGTGCTAGAAGAGGCATGGAAGATTCGTCGACCACACATTCCGCGAAACACAGCAGTAAACATTCCCTTCATAGCTCATTGATGAAACCCAAAGCTGGCCTTACCACAGAGCCCGCAAACTCGTTTCACAATTGCAATGGCTTGCTTTGAACAACTAACTTAGGGCCATAGCAAGGGGAGTCATGCGATCCTTAGTGGTCCCTAATTCGTTCTCTGCCCCACAAAATGAAAACATATGCTCGCTTCCCGAGTGGATGGCCCGAACAAAAAGTCCAAACTTAGAATTACCACTAAAATAGTGAAGACCCCACAAGTGACTGAAGTCCGGGAACCCGGGAAGTGAGTCCTGTACTCAAAAACCAACACGCCCTCACCCAATTCCGTTTGTGTCTGTACGCCTTGCCAATGCTGAAGACGTTGCGCCCTCCCGGGCCACCTCCACCCGGCAGGCTGCTCCCCAAACTCCTGGCGGAAAATCCCCCCCGACCTTCGGGTGGAGGGTCCCCAATTCCCATGTTTTGAGGCCCGATCCAGGGAAAAATCGAAACATTCGTGAAATTTCAGGAGATACCCTCCGCCAATTCCATTTTTCAGGGGTTGGGGATAGGCATACCGTTCCAACACGGAAGCTGACCCATGATGAGACAAAGGGCAGAACGCCCAGGTAGGATTCAGTCCTGCCCACCATCAAGAGCGGGATCAGGAAAAGCAGCGAAGGCACGTACGGCAGGATCTCCCCAATGTAATCCACCCTGCGGGTCCAGAAGAAGCGTCCGAGCCAGGCTTGGAACGGGTTTCAGAGGTATGGAAGATATACACATCACTCAAAACAGGGGTGCATAGCGCAGTTCAAACTTATATTGGTAGTATATTGGTTGTTGTCAATATCATGGATGGCCAAAATCCACAGTTGGTAGGTGGTTTCGAGTGGTTCCCCGTTATTCATAGGGCTTTATTCATCTCAACTGGCGATGGATTTTGTCCAGCATGGGCAAACGGGTAAGCAAAGGATCTCCTAACTGCAGGCATGGGGCTCGTGCACGTACTGCACCGGGATGTACTCCAGGGCGGGAATGCCCAGATCATTCTGCACGCTCCTTGGTCAAGCTTCCAGGCGCTTCCACCTGACTATCAAACATGTGTAGAAAAACAGGTTGTACGTCATGTGAACTGCCAAAATGCGTATGAACCAAGAGTCATTGCACTTGGACCACCCAGGAAGAGTGGAACCATGGTTGGACCCCAAAAGTGTAGGACGTTCTTCCGACAGTATGCAACTTTACTTCAACAAGTCTCAGAATCCCAGCTACAGGAAGCTAGAGGCAAGCCTTGTTTTTGGTGTGTTTAGCAAGTGTCCTGCAGCCATTGCATTCAGTTCAAGGTCCCCAAAATGAACGCCTGCCCCAGCTGCTTGCAAGCTGCTCCAGCTTCTGCTCGAACGCCTCGGGCCGGCCCAGGTTGATCGTGACCATGGGCGGCCCGCCGCTGTCCTGTGGGAGAAGCTTCAGTTCTCCTGGTTGAGGTCGTTGGATTCATTGATGGCTATGCCCTGCCCACAAAGCTTGACCTCTTACAGGTTCAGTGGGGAAAGAAACATCTTTTCAAACACATGTTTACAGCTTGGCTGCACGTTTGAACAATCATGACCCCCAGAAAATGCAAAAATCGCAAGCTCCGTGAGTGTGGGTCCAGGGGGGGCCCACCAAGCCTCATCGCTGGTTGCATGTCAACCATACACCCAGCTAGTTCGTGGCAACATGACGAGCTTGACATCTCACTTTGCAGGCCCAACGAACCGAAAGCTTTGCATTTGGAGGCTGAAAAAGGTTTATTTGGGCTCCCTCTCTTCCCCCCCTCACCCCAAGCCCCAATGATAGAATTGTGGTTGCCCTTAGGGATGCCAAAAGATCGTCGGGTTGCGCAGCTTGCTGAGCCAGGTAAATGAGCCCATTGCCAAGGGTTCTTGAACAGCTGTAACTAGAAAGTGAAAAGTTATAAATCCTGGAAGCATTTTGAAAAGGAGAAACAAGTGAAAGGATGAGAAAGGAATGATAAATTCAAGAGATGAGATCCTATTTCCTAGTCGCATCATAGTCATCCAAGATGTGACGAGAGAAAGGAGGTGGGCTCATCTCTCCCCTCTCCATCTTCTCTCCGTCAGTAAGAGATAGGAGAGAATGGGATGGTGAGGACTAGTGGTCCGTTTTCCAACAGGAGCCAAACAAAGGAGGATCCTCTCCAAGAGCAAATGTGAGGAGGAAAGGAATGCCCCTCTGTCTCCATAAAAAGCCCGGATTCTATGGCGGTCATATGGCAGGACACAGAATCTACCAAACAAAAAGGAACAAATGGGGGCCACTCAACGCCAGACTTCTTTACTCGAAGGCGATGCCATGTTCAAACGAGACATCCGCCTAAAGGGCCGGCTTCCCTTTGGAAGAGGATCTTCACCAAACGCACATGCCAGCCCATTCTGTCCTTCCGCAAGAAAACGCGGGCCTGGCTCTCGTTCACAATCCTGGGCTTGCATGAAAAGAGGGAGGCATAGGGGAAAGTGAATGGGTATCATGATTGATTTGGCTCGCACGGAGGGTATGTACATAGGAGACTAGGCATGTTCGCGTGAATCAGTTTGCAGCGAGGCCACTACTTGTTCAACGACAAGGCCATCTCCGTTTGTTTCCTATGGAAAACCCACAGCTTGGTCATGAAAACATACAAAAACCCACAGCTTGGTCACGAAAACATCCAAAAACCCACAGCTTGGTCACGAAAACATCCAAAAACATGTTCTATGGCGTTAGGGTTAGGATCTCAAAGATGGGAAAGCACAGGCTCGTACACAGCAGCCCAAAGCACCCACCTGAGAATCCGGGACCTGAAAAGCCTGGAACAGGAGATTCCTTTCGGGTAACCTTTTTTTTTCCACCTTGGAGCCTTTTGTTTTCACCTTAACCCTCTTTTCTCACCTCCTTTCCCTCTCCAGTAGAGGATCCAATGATGAGTTGGCGGACATATACCGGGCTCACAGGCAATCCGCAAGATCCATTGGATTTTGCGGGTCCAATTCCTTTGGATCGTGGTTTTCCAATAAGGGTTATGGATTAGAATTGGCGAACACCACATGTTGAACAAGGCGGACCAGTCGGAACCTCTCAAAAGCGACCGCTCGGATCCACGGATGTTTTTGCAAAAGGGACAAAGATACAAATCTTACTTTCATAGTCTGTGCCAAAACATGTTGCAACCCTAAAAAATAAGCTCAGGTGATATCCCCAACAGCATGCGGTGCTCCTTTTCGTGCTCGCACCACCCCGCAGCCCTCGCAGAACCTCGTGGAACCCTGGTGGAACCCTGCTGGAACCCTGGTGGAACCCTGGTGGAACCCTAGTGGAACCTTACCTCAGGGCCGCCCCGGACCACCCCGGAGCCTATCTGGGCTGAGACCCCAAAGCTTTCAGCTGTTGGGGAAAAAAACTTTTGCAGGAGGGCCCGGTTAAACCCTGCAGGAGGGCCCGGTTACCAAGGCATAAATTCGCCGCAGGCTCTGAATCTTTTCCACCTGGCCCTTGGTCAGGTACTCCCTGATCATCTCCTGCATTGTGACCTGCGATCGGTGAAAATCAAGAGCCGAGAGGTATGGAGGCAAAAGAACCAACTAATTATCAGCTGGGCTGCCCGTTTTCAGATCCCAGGCGCAAAAACAACAGACTACTAGTGGGTTAAGTGGAAAACCCGCGAAAGCTAAAAGCTTAAGGGGATGGCTGGGAACGACGAAGTAAGGTGGAAATGCTACATGACATGCGTATATTGGTGATATAGTAATTAGTTGTAAGTCAGGGTGGTGGGAGTCAGGTTGCGATGCTCAGAAAACCGGTTGCCGCCCTCCACTCTACACAATCAACCGGGAGCTTATGAATGGGTTGCCACACCTTTGGTCCTCAAGTCCTCAAGGGACCTTGACGGTTTCAAGCGGAGCAGCCAAAGGCCATCATGCAAGCATTGGCGGCGTCGCTGAAACATTGACAAGCTCAAGGTGAAGGATCCAATCGGATACTCCGTAAATTACCACCGACGCCCCTTTTAAGGGGTCCCATAACTCGGTTGCGAAATCTGCTCCCCTGCTGAAAGTTTAACTTTTGTGGTTTACTGGAAAACCCATTAGTTGGCAAAAAAGTTAGAGTACTAACATCCAAGCAAAAATGCACCAACGATGAGGTGGAAGAAGTCAAGGCCTGGGCGGCTCCAGCAACATGACTCCCCCCCCGCAAAGGCCTGCCTCGTTGTCCTCGGCCTCAGAGTCCTTCACTGAGAAGTAGGATCCAGCAGCCAGCACGCCTGAAGCGATTAATCCCATGGCTCTAGGGGTACCTTCCCCATTCTTTCCCGGGATCCGACTCTTTTCAGGAAACCATCTTAAAAATCCAGGGGAAACAGATCCAGTTTTTGAAAATAACGATGGTTGAAAAGAATGGGGAATCAACCCCTAGAATGGCAGGTGTTTGGCAGAACCAAGGCCAAGCGGCAAAAAAAAACAATGCGACCACTCAGCCCTTCAAGGCTAGCAAAACAAGCATCTCTCATGAAACCTGACGTGTCTTTGGAAACACTTTTCCTCTACAAAGGCCTTTTTGGTGGGTTTCAGCCGAGGGGGGATGGGTCCAAAATGGACCAAACCAAAAATGGCCATCCATCCATTCGAAAATGTCCATCCATCCATTTGCTTTTTCCAGCTAACCGAAGGAAACTGTCCTTGACCCTCCAAAAGCGCGTGGGATTGGAAAGAACACACATTTTTGGATAGCTTGCAAGAGACGTCCGCCCTTTCCATGAAACAGGCATGAGAAGTTGGGTATTCGCCACACGGCTGGGCTTCGGAAGCTGAACCCAGTGCTTCTTTTTCTCGGGTAACAGGGATGGGTTTGAAGGAAAGCGGAAAGGATGTTGCATCCCATCAAGGGGGCTCCTGAGAAAAAAAAGAGTATCCCGACTCGAAAAGTGCCTTGGGTTTAGATAGGCGTGTCTAGATATAGATTCCCCAAGCAAATGGTTGGTTTCTCTTTTGTTTCCCTCCAAGAAGCACCCAAAATCCGGCTGCGGAACAAAAAACACGCGCACACTCCCAAAATTAGAAGGTGGACCCCCCATCCATGCGGCCACAGGAGCCACCCGCCAGCAGGGCCATCAACCGGAGCCTGGCACAACTCGCGGCACAATTGCCATGTTCGCCCTGGAGCCAGCAAAAAATGTCCATGCAAGCAAGCAAGCAAGGCAAAGCAAGGCAAGGAAAGGCAAGGCAAGGCAAGGCAAACACAACAAATCGAAGATAACACACAAAATAACCATAGGGACGCACAAATTCCCGGAGATGCCCCCCCCCCCCTTCCGCAGGTGGGGAAGAAAAAAAAACAAACAAACAAAAACCGCCGGCGGCTCGATCGCGATATCGCGCGCACAGCGCCGGCAGCGCCGCGCCTCTCTGGGCCCTGGGGGCCTTGGGGCTTGCCCTTGGCCTCGCCCTTGGCCTCGCCCTTCCCTGGACGAAGCGAGCGAGGGAGGAGCTTCATGGACTGGGGGGGGGGTGGGGGGGGTGGGGGGTGGGCCTACGGGGGCTATGGGGGTATCCCAGAATAAGCCAAGTTGATGAGGCTTCTGAGGGTTTTTGTATTGCATTGTGGGATTACACCCTGGGGAAATGACCCATGGTCGAAAATAACATGGGTTTTATCCGGAAACGTGCCTAAATGTGGGTGTATTCCCAGAGTGTAATACAAAAAACCCGTTCGGGGGGCCTATGGGGGCTGTGGGGGTATATCTGAATAAGCCCAGGAGAAGCCAAGTTGATAAGCCCTTAAGGCCTCAAGGGGTTCATAAGGGAGTTACCCCTCCCATCCTTTCTCTTGCAAAATGTTAGCTAAAGTCGTCACTGACATGTCGTCATATAACCTATGCATATGCGCATGCATTATATATATATATATATGTGTCTAAAACAGGTTTATATTGATATGTTATATTAGTATATACACATGCATTACATTGGACGGGACAAAGAAAAAAGGGTCAAACAACATGTGCCCCCCCCAACAAATGAACAGACCCAACCAATTCAGAACCGCACACCTCCCCTTCCACACTGAGAATGAACAGCTGGCCTCGAGGGCTGAGGAAACCGATGACACCAAAGAACCAATAAGACGCAAGCATCCATAGACCAACTGGGAAACACCTGGCCCCGCCGGAGATGATTTTAGTCTTCAAAACGCAACTTGCTTGGGGGATAAACCTGACTAAAAAGAGTGGTTACCTTGGGAACACTGCTTTGTTTAAATCAAACAAGTCTACCCAGCTCTCCTTTCAATGACCCTGCTTCTTTGGGCAGCATGCCGGGTTTTGGACATGGGAAAAGCCGTTGGTGCCGGGTGCGGGGAAAAACTGGTGTATCGTGGAATGCTGTAAAGGCCTAGGCTAGCATGGGGTGGGCTAGCATCAAACCGTTTTTAGTCATGGGCATACACACAAAATGTTCGTGGTTGGTTAGCCTCTCAGCGGTGCACAAATTAGCTTCTAAGTTGTGGTTTGACAAGAAACCGTACGAAGAGATGCTTCTGAGAACCCTTCAAGATGTTTGCCCTGGTGCTCCCACTAAAGAAAAACAGGTAGATGTGGCATGTGAGACCCCAAACCACAAAGAGGCAACTCATAAAACAAGTCCCAACCAAACTGGACCGTGCTCACCGCGCCCATATAAGTGTTTCTCAAACTTACGGATTCCATTTGGTTTCCCTTCAAAAAAGGCTTCTTAGCTTCTGGCTTCCTTTTGGTTTCCCTTCCAATTGTTGGCTTCCTTTTGGTTTCCCCTTTTGGGGTTCGATTTTGAGACAACTCCCATGCTGCGGAGCTGCCTGAGGTGCCTTCAGCCTTCGCTTCTCCTTCCACCTCGGGAAGGGAAGGAGGGTGGGGGGGTTCGCGCTGGATCAGACGGGGGGAGGGATGACGTCCAGGGAGAACTCCTTTGCCCTTTTCTCCCAATTGACCTGTGTTTTTCTTTGTTTAAGGTCCTGAGGGTCCTCGGATGAAAAGAACAGGTGAACTAAGCCGAAAAGTGAAACCGATGCGTGCTAACTTCGTGGTTCCTCTTGGACCTTGGTGCCGACACGCCTCTTAAAGAGGACGAAGGGATGTCACACTTAGGCAATCCGATGAGGCGTTGATTTCCTAGGCTCCGAACAAACTTGGACAGATTGAAACCATTTTGCAATGAAATCAATTGGGGTATCCCGTAGTCAGGCACCTTCATGGGTGGGCCTGCTGGAACCATGGCCGCATTCCATGACCTGGCATATGGCCATGGGTCAAAACCCCGGACCACCAGTGTCCAAATCCCCACTATTCCCAACTAAAAAAGGTTCTAAAATGGGTGGTGAATTCACCTATCCCAAAATGAGATCCCATTGGTTTTGAACCATGCCCATATCTGCACACAATTGGCACGGTACAACTTCATGATGTCATGGGGACTGCTTGGTGACTTGCTCGATTGGATTCTTGCTCGTTTGGATTCCCCGGATTGTGTGTCGCAGCCTCAAGCAAACTACGGATTGTCCATGTTCAACTCCCAGGTACTGTCCAAAAGGGAGTTGGGGATGGGAAAGAGTAGCCCCTCCTCAGCAAAGAGTTCCTATACAGGAAACTAGTCCAAACCAGGGTCCCTCAGGTTCCATGTCGCTGGACGTGCACATCTCTAGGTCTTTACCTTGCATCGCCAGGCCGCTGGTGTCTCCTTGGGGCCTCTCCTTAGCGGACACACCAAACAAAAAAAGGAAAACACATGTCGCGAACCCTGGAGCTGCCTTGGCGAGTACCGCTACCCCAATTAAGGACAAACTGAGAGAGAGAGAGAGAGAGCGAACAAAAACAATTAGAAGAGTGAGTCAGTAACTGCGTCACAAAAAAGAAAGAGAGAAAACAAGCAGAGTGAGTAACTGCGTCACCCAAAAAAAAAACAAAAAGATGGGGTGTCCTCTGCCCAAAGGCTTCTGGGAGCTTCCTCATAGCACCCCAAATATCTTCCTAAAGGACTCCGGTCCGCTGAAAGGAGATCACGGTGAGGGGTCCATGTCTTAGCGTTCCCAAAAAAGACACGCTTGACACCCAAAGAAAAGCCCCATGAACCCTCAACATCTGGAGGAAACCTGAAGGTTACCAGAGCCCTCAACATCTGGAAACCTGAAGCTTCAAAGATGTACATCTATCTCCGGCTTCTTTGAAAAACCAAAGCAGCCCGGAAATCGGGGAAGCCCAAATACAGGCCATCACGGGTGAGCTCTTGCAAACCTCCAGGTGAGTATGTATAAAACAGGATCCTTACATTGTAGCCTTGCCAATGGTGGTTTCCCCTAATTTGATGAAAAAAACCATGTTTCAAATGGGCAAAATGTACTGTGAAATGCAGGCAGAACAAGGGAGATCCGGGGGTGCCAAACTCCCGAACCTGGCATTCCAATGCCCGCTGAAATCACATTGATTCGCCGAGGCGTCACCTTTGCATACCAAACCCCAATTGCCAAACATGGTTCAACACTGCCCCTACAATCAGGTCATAGGGCTTTCTAACATTGTAGTCAACAAGCGGAAGATAAAACTAACATGTGAAAATCTCTGAAAGTTACAACCCTCAGTGCCATGCTTGTGAACATGCGGCTGGCCCAGGTACCTTCAACCAAGTCACGCAAACATCGGACGCGACAGTCACTGCACAGGCAAGCAAAAAACTGAAGAACAAGAACTCGGTTGCTTTCTGCTCCCCTGCTAAAAGTTTAACTATTAGTGGTTTGATGGAAACCCATTAGTTGGCAAAAAGTTCAAGTCCTAACATCCAAGCTCAGTGCGCCAAAGGGAACGCTCGCAGCCCTGCAAGCTTTCTTGCATACACAACCTCTACAGTTCAGTGTGGGACTCTTGCCAAGCTGCGACTCTTTGCCCTCTGCCTTGCCCTCCGCCTGGGCGGAATCGGAATCCCCTCCCCAAAACCCCCCCGGCCGAGTTGCACGCAGGGCGTAGCAGGACATTCCAAGGCTAGGCCCAAACCCGTGAGAAGTGTCTTTCTGCGAAGGATGACACGTCTGGTGTCTGCAAAGGTTTCTGCAAAGAATGCTTCGACAAATGAGGAATCGTCGAACCGGCAAATTCTTGAACACTCAAGCCAATGGAATCCATCTAAAGCCAGTGGAATCCATCTATGTTCAGGCAAAGTGGTCGTTTTCGGCCAGTCAAACGCCAAAGTACAGGACATCTTGCACGCAGGAACCACCTAAGCAAATATGGAACATATTGTGTTCTTGGGTATGCCATAAAACGGAGCCTGGTTATCTTATATTACCCTCATGCACCACATCTAGTTGAGACAATCACATCACTACTGGATGTGCCGCCAAAATGTTGGCAGGATTCTCTCCCTGCGCTGGGCATTCGAGGGGCTCAAAAAATGTAAATATCTGTCCCCTTTAAGGGATGTTGGAACTCCCTTAAGGGACACAAAGTGGAGTCGAAGCCAAGGAACATCTCTGTCCCCTGGTCATTTTCTCCTGCAAGGGAAGCAAACAGAATGTGGGGGGAGGGGGGGGGGGAATTTTAGCGCCCAGTGGGCGTGCACGGTATGTGGCTCTCTCTGAAGCAGATCTTCGAGGGGCTCAGGGAGCGAGCTCCACCGAACCGAAAACCGAGCGCCAGCTCGGCCCAGGCGCCTCCTTTGGGCCGGGCCTCGGAATGAGAAGCATCGATCCAGGTGCCAGGCTGCTGGACGATTAAACCATGTGGCTCGAAATCCTCTTCTCGCATCAAACCATGGTTGAAACCATAGCGTTGATTGGGGATTTACGTTGGAGAATCGAATCATTCCAGGCTTGTTGAGGTGGTGCGAAGTGGAATTAGTCCAGCCGCAGAACCAGTGAACCCCAACCATCCAGGATCAAATCCTCCTTTGTCCTTGGGCACTGCCTTCCAGCTTCAGAGGGGTTGTTCTTGGCCCAAATTTGTCCCCCACCCCAAAAATAACGACACATCAAATCTCAAATCTCTACATTCAGATAAAAACTTTGTTTTCCACTGATATCCACGATCCCGACTTCAACCATGGTGTCTTTGCCAGTAGGGGCGCAGGAAGCAAACCCAAAAAGGCCACGAACTTTCAGTTGACTGGCAATGAACCTCAAGAAAGGGTGACAACATGTTCTACCATCAGTTCAAGTTTGGCAAAGAACTAAGATTACCATGTGTAAGCGTGGATTAGTGACTAACACCAAGTGATACCACGTTGCTTGAGTTTCAATCCCATGACCAATGCATACTTGCAACAGAGTTCCCATGGCGTCACAGGAACTGTGCGTCTTTGCGTATCTTCGCGTGCACACAATATTTCTATACATCATATCAATCCTGTTGTCGTTCATTGGTTAAACCTGTTTTTTTTTGGAGAGAACCACTAAAATCCCCGTGTTTCCGATGGCGAGATCCTGAGCCCGGTAGGGACACCACTAAACTCCTGCCAGGATATGACTCGGAGGTCAGTTGCTGCAGGACCTATGCATTTGATCAGGAATTGTCATTTTTTGGTCAATGGATTCCACCCTCTAAGCTTCTCTTTGCTCAGGTTCCGAAACCCCAACACCTAACCCAAGGCAAGAAGACATGACTCCAATTCATGCTTGGTATGATCAACTAAGCAAAAAGAGAGTCCAACTCTACCGTGTAGGTCGCTGGCTGCCAGAGTTCCGTTTCATGTTCTGTTCTACTCGCCTGCAGCCAGGTTTTCTTGTCTGCCACGACAGGCAACACATGCAAATCACCAGAAGAAACCAGGGGCGCAACCACGGCTATCAACTGACTCCTTTAGGCTATGTCCTTTCAGGTTCCCACAAATCAAAGGGGGTCGATTGATCCGGAGTGGACCTTTCTGGCTTTGCTTCCCTCCCCATTTCCTGGCATTTGGTCCCTACCCGTCTGCGCCCCCTTGAACATGCGAGGAATGGACTAGTCGGCCGCGCAGCAGAAGGGCGTCAGTCTGCCGAGTGGCTTGCTGCCTTCCGCTGCTGTCTCTGCTGGCTTTGCCTAGTCCAATCGCAACATGCCACCAGGCAGCCCCGATTCGGAGAAGTGGTTGAAATAGCCCGGTTTCGCTGTGCGTTGGCATGCGCCTGAAGGGGGGAGTTTAGGTGCCATGCCCTCTCTTGCACAATGAGACCAAGCAATCTCTGACGATGGAATATTATGACAGTCGTTCCCAATCATTTCTTCTCCCATCGTGCGAAACCCCCCCCTTTGAACCCACCCCCCTTCCAAAGCAAGACCAAATTAAGAGGACACATAAAATACAGGATAAAATAAAGGCCTAATTCAGACCAAATTAAGACCAAATTAGTTTTGGGAAATTCACCCTTGTGGACAAACTACGGCCTAATTTAGGTTTTTGTTTGTGCGCCAATGACTCAAGCCAATTCAAGCCAACAATGCAAATTGCAAAGCAGCGCGCCAGCGTTTCAAACGTGCTAAATGAATACGCGATGTCCTGATTTACTGGTGCGTGCCTACGGTGTATTCGGTTGGGAATCAAGCCAAGCTACTGTAAAGCAAAATTAAGGCCAAATTAAGGCAAAACTAATGCAACATTAAGGTCAAATTAAGGCCTAATTAAGGCTGAATTTGCCCAAATGCTATTAAGGCCATGCCTACGGGAAGCAAACTTAAGGCCAAATTGAGGGCAAATTAGCGCACATGCCTATGGGATTTGGCTTTCAAATGCTACCCAAGCCAAAATGCAGCAAATATATAGTACGAAATAAGGCAAGAGTAAGGCGTAAAGCCCAATTCACGGGAACACTGAAAGCGCGCCTAGGGAATTCAATCAAACAGAAACTGAAAGCCAAACTGAAGCAACATGAAACGGACGGGTTGGCTACCGAGCGCCGATGGCTCCAGTCATGTTGCTTGGAAAGTTAGCCCCTAATAAGCCCTAATCAGCCCGTATTTCTCTGGGGAGGGGGGGGTTCAAGGAGGGGTGGTTTGGAAACTATGACCTCAGGTGATCCGCCTTTCGGGAAAGAAAGGCTGTGCGCTTGCTGGGGGTGCACCATCGAGATGGGGGCCTTTCCATGGACATCGAGAGTCAGACGTATGGATTGGGATGGTTGCCGAAATTGCTGAGAAAAGCATCTAAGAAATTCTAAGAAGCTGAGAGGAAATGATCCCTGAAATTGGTCCAAACCCCTGGTTTTGGATGGTTTTGGGTGGTTTCCCCAAAGAAAGGACAAGGGCACCTTTGGAAGAACCTGAGCAGTGCGCTTACCATGCTCTTCAGTGCTTAGGACGCATTTCATGTTTTTGGCGATCGGCTTGTGTCCGTGTCTAGTGAACTGGGCGATTAATCAATCACAGCAAGCTAGTCACGCATGGTTCCCTTCTTATGGGGTAATGATTCATCTTTTGGGGACGCACCCCCTGTGACGACCTCACTTCGTATGGTGAACATACCCAGTTGCCAAGTCCCCTGAGTAAAGGCCCCCAAATTTATCTACGTGCAAGTCCCTCTCTCTCTCTCTCTCTCTCTCTCTCTCTGACGGGGACATCTACTGGTCCGGTCATGCGCCTCGGCTGGCGTCTAGACCAAACAAACTTTTTGGGGGTTTAGTGGAAAACCCCTTGATTTCCCAAAAAGTTAAAGGCTAAAGATCCAACTCAATAGCAGTTAAGCTAAAGGTGACGCTTTGTAGGTTCTCTTGCTGCCTAAAGAATCGGCTGGCCCTTTGAATCCCAACGCCTGGACTTCGGGGCAAAACCCGCCCCAGACCTCGTCCCCGGTTTTGCCCCTACGGAAGCCCGTAGGAAAAATTCTCAAAACGCCACTTCAACCACTCAGATTGCCAGCTTTTCTCTATGCAAAGCCTGGTTTGTTCCCAGCCCGTGTCCCCAAAAACCAAACTTTGGAGGTCTGAAGTCCATCGAGCCGGAAAGGTTCATGGGCATGGGCTTGGGTTGCCCTTCTTGAAGCCGAGCAGCGCTGCTTTCAGCTGGCTTTGCGGCCTGTGACCCAACCCCTCGAAACAAAACAGGTGCAAAACATGCGACATGCCCATCCTACCCAGTTGTCCTGAAGTTGCCATTTTGGCATTGGCCTGCGTGGGATATGAGAGAGCTGCTCATCTTCATTTCTTGAAATCTGGGCATCCGAGCAAAATCAAGCAGTTACCATTTTGTTAAAGAAAAATGAAGGAACACCAAAACGGCAAGAATCAATGAGATAAGCTGCTTGGATGTTCGACCAAGTTAGAAAGTGGCTAGCCATTTAGGGTATAACCCCCTAATTGGAAGGTGCACTTAGGGGGGACTTATAAGTGGGTCATAAGGGCGTACCAACAAATTGTCCACGTAAGTGGACCTCTCGTTAGCTCACTCGCGCACATGAGTGAGATTCGTCGAAGACCCAAACCTGTGGATTTTCATGGGACAACAAGGGCGCCACATATTGTTTCGGTGCTTGAACTTAAAGCGCCTCACTTGAATGATATCCCAGAGCGTCCAAATACCTCATGAGGATGGCTTTTAGGGGGTAAAAAGGGGTCTAAGTACCTCCTTAGAAGGTACTTGGACCCTCTGGGTATATATATATATAATATGTACATATAGATAGTTGGCCCCTGGGCAAAACGTGAGGACCCACCGAAAGTGATCGATCCTCGCTTGATCATTGCTCGGTTCGGCCCATGAGATTGGCCGTGTAGCACAGCTCCAAACAAAGACTCCGCCAATCCCGATCCATCGCCAAAACAAAAACTCTAGGGCGACCTTCCCCATTCTTTCCAGGATCTAGAAAACCTCCGGAAGCCCAGGAAAACGGCCCGGTTCTTGGAAAGAACGATGGTTGAAAATAATGGAATTGGAATCAACCCCTAGAAAAGCTGGAAAGGGACCGACTACGTAACCCAAAACAAGTGGATCTTAACCCAGGCCAAAGAAATGACATCTCAGTCAGCCAGCATCGCGGAGCGAGGGGTTCGAGCTTTGAACAGTCGCTTTCCGACATTTTCCGACTCGATGGTTCCCCTGCATTGTCACAGATAGTGGAAGCAGCCAGTCCATTCTTGGCCAAAAGCTTACCCAAACCCTAGGATCCTGAAATTCTACATCTGATGGCCTTTGACCCCCCAAAGGCATCAATACTAGTCTTGGGACCCCAAAAAAGGTTCACCTGCTTCTTCCCGCCGACTTCGTGCCCCTTTGGCGCCCCAGAAACGTACGCTTTGGGAGCCGCCGCTCCGAAACCAGCGCCTCCTTGGCCTCTTTGGACTTGAAGAAGCCCTCGAAGCCCTTCGGAGGCTTTCTGGAGCCGCCTGGGCCGCATCGCTCTGCCCGCGAGGAAACCCTTCAGACCGAAAGGCGCGCTGGCTGTGTCTTAGGGCGAAAAAAGATCCACCCAAACCCTAGGATCCCACAACCCGAAATACGAGTTGAGCCCCTAAGACAGCAAAGAATGGGGGTGTTGGGGCCGGAGGGCCTTCAGTCCATTGATCCCTGCAAAGGTCCAATTTTTTGGCCCGGATATGTCACAAACCGCTTGGTGAGTCTCAAAGGGTTTCTATGCATCACCAGATCGAGGGGAATCCATCCTTCGCTTGCCTCCCTAGATGGTAAAATCGAACCAATAACATTCCATGTTTTAGGCCCAGGCAGGCTGCAAAGGGAAACAGCCTGGAAGCTGTTGCTTTCCGTTTGGACAACCATGGGCAACCACGGAATATCCCTGAAGAAAGCGGGGAAGGTACGTTAGAAGTCTGGAACATATCTTGAAACGGGAACTTCCCCTTGCTTTCCAGCGATGCTTCTTTCCAGAAAGGCTTTTTGGCAAAAGGATCAACTGCTGGCAAAGCAAAACTTGCAAGGGGCCTCAAAACAACAAAAAACAGGCGGTGACCATTATTCGCTTTCAAGTGAGGTTGGTTGACACCACAAGAAAACAAACATCGGCGCCAGGTCTGTGTCAAATATTCAGGGATTCGGAACCCTCATAATGATTGGCTTCATACGGTTTCCTGTTCCGTTCCCTTCAAACCAAGCTACAATGGGTACTGCACCCTCCAAGAACCCTCCGTTTGCTTCAGTCCCCTGGAAAAAATGGTTCCAGTAGTGATAGATTCCCTTTAAAACCAACAGGGGGAAAATATATTCAACAAAAATAATAATAATAAAACAAAGTCTTAACCAAATGGAAGACACCCACCCAAGTAGAAGCCGCCGTTTGCTCAGTTGTTCAGTGACCCTGGAAAAAAGGGAACCCTTTTTGGGGAAGACCATTTTAGTGGGGCAGCCACCCAAAAAAAATGGGAAAAAGGGTGGCACTGAACAACTGAGTTTGGTCTTCTCTTGTTCCCCGTGACGTTGATGCGTTTTTCACTGGGCGTCCCGGGCTGCAAAGACGCGCTCCCGGGCGAGGCCTTAGGCGTAATGCAAGCTCATGCGGGCAGGGAGAGGGAGGGAGCCCAAAAATAAGGCTGAAATACGGTCATGTTAAGGTAAGGGCATATTTGGGCTCCCTCCCTCCCTCCCTCCCTCCAGCCCCGATGTTCACCCACATCTTGGGCCCTCAAAAAGGCTTTTGAGGTCCCACACCCTCCCTCCCTTCAAAAATGGAGGACACCACGCGCAGAAATGGGCAGGGGGGTAGTCAATAAAATTAAGGGCTCGTTTGAATCCCCTGTAAAAGGTGCCCAAAACGGGCGATTTCATGCCTGAGATGTCACCGGGTCAACCCGAAACGTGTAAAATCTTGTCTACTAGCCTTCCTTTTAGGAAAGGGATGTAAAGGGCACAAATGCGGGTGTGTGTTTTGCGAGGCTACCCTTTTGCCTTGGCTACAGCGGAAACCAACAGGACAACCCGATTGAATCGGGCCCCGATTTTGCCACGTGGCTACGTGCGGAAAAAAATGCGCGGCGCCAATACCGACCTCTTCATCCGTACAAAGCTTCTCCAGAACGACCTTTTCTGATGAACAACCTCCAGTTGCTTAAGTCCCCAGGAAAACAGTGAGTTGGCCAGTGCCAGTGTGAAATAGTCTAAACTGCTTGCCACTACAATAGTCTTCCAAACGAGGAACTCAGGCAAATCGTGAGTTTGCTTAAAGACCTCATGACCTGCTGAGTTTACGGCCGCGGATCCCCAACCCAACCACCAAAACCATATATGTGAGGAAAGACCAGCCAAGGCGCAGCGGCTGTGGTCTCCGCAGGAGGGCGGCCTGGCAGTTTTTCGGCGGGGAAACGTTACTAGGTCCTCCAGTAGAGAGGTTAGAATAAGGGTACCCTTTTTTTCTGTAGTCTATTTTCCCCCAAAAAAGGGCAAACGGGTACCGTGGGACCTAGGCTAGTTCAAGCAACCTGTCGCTGGGCCCCCTTTGAGGCAAACCAAAAGGATGGTGTTACAACTGGATGGCTCAACACTCCGGCGCCAGAAGTTGAACGTGTTGCCGCCTAGTGGGAACTATCATCATTCCTGAAAAGTTCAAGTCTAAATCAAACAGAAGCCAAGCAAACATGGCAAACATGTGAACAAAAAAAAAAAGAGGTTGAACCGGCCAGTGCGAGCACGCACGCCCGCTTTTGCCACCGTTTGGGAGACCGATCTCATGAGGCAACTTAAACTTTTAGTGGGCTACCCACCAATAAAGCAGACCGGGAACAACCCTTATCTGGGTGCTATCGTTAACTATATAAGGCTATTACACTGGCAAAGCATGACGAATCAATTTCAGGGAACAGAGATTCATCATAAACATGTTGTCTTATCGAAACGGCTTGAGTAATGGAATGGATGCCTCATTCATCTCTTGTCTGTTTGCTCATATCCATCTCAGCTTCAATTGCGAGGATATGTCATGTATCCCTCGTCTCGTGGCATCTCCAACTTGTGCATTCTTCTCCCGTTCGCACCTCTTAATCCAGAAATAGAGGTTGAGGAGCAAAAGAGCGAGGAGTAAGTGACTAACCTATATCTTCCCCTTCCCTTCCCCAATTGGTGATCCATGGCTTTTGTTGATAAATCTGCAACTAAATTGCATGTGCATCGTAAAGAATACATTTTGATATGTCATCTATTCATACCAAAAAATGGAATCTTGCTGGAATGAGAGAAGTAGTAGCTCAATTAATTGCTACTACGCGACTCTCAAAATCATCTTGACGCTGATGATCAATGAAGGGAGACAATGGTGAGTTGTAAATGGGTGAGTGAAGAGATGCCCTCTCTCTCTCTCTCGTATGAGCAAAGAGAAAACCGCCTACCAACTTCTGTAGGACTTTGTCCATCCACAGTATCTGGACAAATGAATCTAATTCACAAACCTTTACTGTGGATGGACGAAATCCTGCACCACCTAAGAAACCCTCAAATGATGTTCCTGCAAATACCGCCAATATTGGTTTCAACCATGGTTTCAAACTTGTGCAGGGGTTTGTCCATCCACAGTATCATCTAACAAACATGATAGCTCATCGCAATGTGCCAAGTCAACCTCCCTGCCCCAGCAAATGAGTCTGCTTTTTGGAGGGTGCCCCGCCTTTTTGTTGGGGGGTTGAAAGGGAAGATGGAAAACCCGGACTCTCCGGCCTGTCTTGGCACACGGCGCAGCTTGGAAAGCATGAGCCTGAGGCGCAACAAGTTACCAGCGGCAAACCTGGTCGAAGAAAGCCGCCTGTTGGTGCTGAAAAATATCCTTTTCACACACAGGGTCGGCTCAAATACAGCAAAAGCAAGATGGGCCCCGAGGCACAAAAATGTGCCGCTTGCCTGCAAAACATACTCTCGGTCCGAAGGCAGAAAAAAGGAGTAGGAAGGTCAAGTCTAGGTATGCGTGTGGCCTTATTTAGGTTTCCCCGCTTGTTCGTTGGTTTAAAAGGAAGACCAACTGGAAAACCCACTCATTTGGGGGGGTTAAGACAAGACACCATATCTTCGTGTTCACCGATTGTGGGGCACCCACCAAGGCGTGACACAGAAGCGCGCCTGGCATTTAAGAAAGATGTTGAGGAATCACCGTTGGTCAAGACAAACGAACGTGAGAGCCAGTGAGCTTGGCAACTGTGCTAAGCGCAACTTGAATTCCCTTGCCCATCGGATCCTGGTGCATAAGTAAGAGGTTAAAAATGCCTAAAATTGCGTGACCAATGAACAAATTGGGCTCTAAGAAACGTCCCGCGCGTCTGCGCGACATTTCCCCTGCGAAGCCGCGCCTCGAAAATCGGACCGTGGGCCCCAACCTTTTCCTTGAGACTTGTGGCAGGCGGTCGGATGTCAGCGAGGCGGAAATGGGAGCCATGGACCACCTCGTACGTGACCCTAAGTGGGCTGTATGGGTGAATCCCACGTGAAGAGATATTAAGTGGGAATATTAACCTGGGCTGTCCTCAGTTCCCACGCTAAAAGTTTTCAACTTTTAGCACCAAAAGGCTACAAAGCTAAGGAACCGGATGGCTGGGAGCCACCAAGTAACTATTCCCAACCGCTGTGGTCATCCATATGCAGGGGCGACAACACATGGTCCCTGCTCCAAACATCCCCCTTGTGCGCTCAAGGTTGGGAGTACACCAGCTTCCATACAGTCTTTAGTGACAGGGACACCAATCGGTGACAATTTGGTCGGAAATTCACATCCTTCGGAGGAAAAACAAATGTCCCGTCCCACTTACCGCAAAACATCGAAACCAGATTCAAGCGGGCTGTTCGAACGGAGTGGTGGCCAATCCTGATCTATGCTCCGTATAAAAACCACTGGAATTAGCCCCCTTTCGTAACCCAAGGTAAGGATTGCCTTTGAACGGCCCAGTTTAACCGGGGGCCCTGCGAGGTGGCCGACTTCGAATCTTCGAAACGGACAGTGGCCAAGCAAGGAACTGGCATGGCGGCCATGGTGCCCCATCGCCTGCGAAAGTCTCTTCAAATTACTCCGCGAGCGCAAAGCAATCCAGGGTTTTTCAAGCAAACATCTACGTATTTCTGAAACAAGCAGGCAAAACCCACATCATAGCAGGTTACCCTTAGTTTGTGGTTTGGATTGGTGGGTTGGGAATTCGAAGGGCTCGTTCTAGCAGGTAAATGGGGAAACCCCACTAAGCTCCAAGCCACTAAGCTTCAAACTTCTGCAAACCACCCTTTTCGGGGCAAGCTGAAATCAATGAGAAGGCGCGCGGTGCCGTTTTCCCGTGGCTTCCCTGCCCCAAACGATTTTGTCAGCTTCCAATTGGTTTTTGGAGCCGAAACGGTGGTTTGGTGGTCTTACGGTGGTTTCCATTTACCGTCTTGTAGAGGTTTCCCGTTTACCCTCTACGAGTCTACAAGAACACATTGCAGGTTAGTGTTAACATCAAGTTCATCCCCCACAAGTTTAAGCTCGCAAGTCCATCCCAAATCTCACTTCCTGAGTGGATTGGCAAAAAAAAGAAGTCCTGGAACTTTTGTAGCTTACAACTAATATGGTTCAGACCCAAAAAATGACTCTAAAGTCCGAAACGGAACTCGGGAAGTGCCAAATAGCAGCCAGAGGTGAGGTTTCACTCCGGCGACTCCGGGCGTAGGTAGCCTGGGCAGCACCGCGTGCGGCACGCTCCAGCGCAGGCAGGGCCTTGCGAGCTCTGACAAAACTGGATGGGTCTAGAATGGCTCTGGAAACGAAATGGAATACCCTCTCTCCCACCAACATGGCACCTGAGGGAGGGTACCTGGAAGATCAGTTTCTTCTTGGAGGGACCTTCTGTCAGGTGCCATGTTAGTGGGAGAGAGGGTAGCCCCTGAAATTGCCAAACCCCGATGATGTTGATGTCTTTGCGGGTGAAAGGCCATGATATTGAGGGGTTTGGGATCCTGGGGTCCGTCACCTTTGGGCGTCTTGGGAATTGTTCAAGCAAAACAAATGCTTGGCACATTCTCAGGTTAGAGGCTGATGCACAAAGATCAGTTTGAAAGGTAACTCACGGGCCCCTCATACAAATTGTATATGACCTGCGTGCCTCTAACCCTCGCAATTCCGCAAAGATTCGCTTGCGAGTTCGACCATGCGCCTCACTGCAACCCTAATACAGGCAATAAGGGTGTTGATCCCCCCAAGTGGCCGAAGTCAGGCACAAACCCGAGCAACCAAATGATCAAGACTCCTAGCCTAGTGACCCTAGTTGGAAAAGGACAGTTCTTGATGAGCATCACAGCGGAAATCTCGGCGGAAGTTGAGTCCGTGGCTCTCCACAAGCATTATATCACGCAGGGAAAATGCTCTATATGCTGAAATCAGGGTGGATACTGTCCACATGACTTTGCCAGAATAAGACCCTCGCGAAACAACAGTTTGCTGGTCCTATGTTGCCCAAAGGACCCAGAAGAAAAGGGTTAGCTCTCCATTTCGAGCCTTCAAAAAAAAGACAATTGGAAGACAAAAGGGCCAAAGGTCGATTTGCTTTGGGCAAGTGAGGGTTGAAAGCGAAATGGGGAACAGGCAACAGGCAAAACCTTACGAAGTGCAACGACTTGCCCACCTTCAGCACAGAGCGCGGGCATCTGACCGAGTCGTCATGATAGATCACGGTGACAAGCCTCGGCCCCCCCCCAAACGCGCAACTCCAAACATGGGAAACCCGAACCCCCCCGCCCCCCCCCTCCGCCCCCCAGCTCTCGTTGTGCGGAAAACATGGGAGAGACGGAATTCCAATCAGATTTTCTGCAAGATTTGGCCATAGGTCAAATTCCTGTACTCCCAGTGAACACCCCAACCCCCACTAAAATAGACTAAAATGGGTGGTGCACCTACCCCAAAATGTGATCCCATTGGCTTTGACCCACAGCCCTCTGACGATCTGACAACCCGGATCGCGAAGCGTCTGTGCCTCCCGGCTCTTCCGAAGAACCTGGCGATTGCCACGGCAGGCCAAAGATCCAACCACCCTTCGGTCCGGTGAGCTTCTTTTGAGTGTACCCGTTCTGCATTCAAAGGGAAAACCACAGGAAAACCATCCAGTTTGAGGGGTCGCCCCCGCAAGACAACACCCTCGTGTTTCTTTTGCGCAAGATGCGGAGCGCTGAGAGGCCTAAGTTCGCTTTCATTTCCCAGGATGCCCAAAGAGAGGTGACAGCTACTCGGAAAACAACTGTCTGTTGCTGGCAAAAAGGCAGAACTGCCAGTCGGAGGGAGGGAGAGAGAGAGAGAGAGAAAAAAAAATCAAACAAAAGTGAGAGAAAGAGAAAGAAAAGGAGAGTGAGAGAGAGAGAGTGTGAGAGAGGAAGAAGAGAGAAAGAGGGGTGGCAGATGAGCTCAGGGGCGAGGACAAACATCGGCCAGTTCTGCAGTCCGCGCCTTCCACGCTCCGGTGACCCTCAAAAGCAATGCCTCGGGCTCGCACAGATCCTACCCCCGGTGGCCCGAAGGTCCACGGGTGCTTTACCCCTTTTACACTCAAAGGAGAGGGAAACACAGTTTTGTCAACAACGGGGGAACCCAGGACCTTAAAAGGAACGAACCCCTCCGTGACTGCGACCTCTCCCTTAACCTTGGGGCTAGCGCGGTGCAACGCGCTGTTTTCAGCACTTGAGCCAAAGCGGTGATTGGATCATGCTTTGGCAACCACTTGAATGTACAACATGCAACTGACTACATGAGAACCTACCTCATGTACCTCTGGGCCATAAATGTCATCGTGATAATTGACTCCCCCCTCATTGACGGCACTGAGGGAGTGTCTTGGGCGCATTACCACGCCAACTTGAAGTCAAGTTTACATCACAACGACTGACACAAGTTATTCAAGCATCACCCAGGCACTTTGCACACTTTGGAAATTTTGCAGGCATGCTGCAGCGCACTAGGCAGCTGCTTTAGCGGCTCTACTTTCACGAACGTCTTCAAGCTTCTCTGGTAGGTCAACACGAATGCCGAGCAACCGGATGGCATGGTCCCACTTGTTGGGTGGAAGCGCTTTCGTGAAGATGTCCGCTGACTGCATGTCGGTTTGGACGTATTCTATCGAGATGTGTTCGCTTTCAAGCTGCTCTGCGATGCACGCGAGATTCACCTTGTGTGTTCGCTGGACACAGCGTAGCTTGGATGAGAATCCTTTCTTTGCTACGAGGATAGTCGCCTGGTTGTCCTCGTGGATCTTGAGATGGAATGGTCGGTCCAAGATCAGCTCCCACAAGCTTAGCGCAGGGAGCGCCTCCTGATAAAGGGAGTATGCGAGAGATACAATCTCCGCCTCGGTCGTTGACCGGGAGACCGATGTCTGCCTTTTGGATACCCACGCAAGCGGAAAATGCGTGTGCGGACCACTCAAAATCAAGAATCCTCCGGACGTGGATTTTGCATCTCGCTCTCCGGCGAAATCGGCGTCCACATAAAGGGACAGATGCAAATCCTCAGTCGAATCTTGGACTGTGCCTACTAGCGTGCTGTTGACCGTGCTGTTTATGTAGCAAACAAGCCTATGTAGCTGCTTATCGCAGTTTCTAGACCATTTTTGAACAAATGAGGCAAGGTCGCCAATGGGCTTGACCAGGTCTGGGCGTGCCAAACGGCCGAGCCACAAGGCTTTCATCAACACGCGGCAAGCAGCGAAGCCGAGCTCACCCTCCAAGGCGTCATCTGCAGGATCGAGGGATCCAGCGGGACAGAATGGAGTGGTGGCATCACGCAACTTTTCACTTTTTAGCTGTGCAACCTCAAGATACAATGCCACCGTCTGACGGGCATAATCCCGCATGTCGAACGCCATGCCCCCTTTCAATCTGCCCATTGCGGCATTAAGATCGGGTTCAGTTGGGTCCTTTGGAGCATCTATCAAAAGGTGGTTCCTGCCTAGCACCCGATATATGTCTTCTGGGGGTTCTATATCAACCAGTCTTGTTAACTTTTCCCAGAAGTCTTTATGAAGGTGGCTGGGGCCGGCCAACGTCAAGTCGTCGACGTATGTCGAGAGAAGTAACCCGGACTCCTTGAACCAGAAGTTTCCAGGAAACTCTGCGACCTCACGCCCTCCAAGTTCACTAATGAACCCTTTGAGGTGTGCCTCCCAGAGTCCGCCAGCGTCGGGATGCCCATAAAGAGCTTTAACGAGCAAAACCACAGGTTTCACGAAACGCTCGCGCCACCACCTTGGCCGGAGCTCAGGCGGGAGTGTGATCCAAGTTTGGTACTTGGACTTCAGCAGTGCTTGCACATAAGCCTTTATAGCGTCCGCTGTTGTGGTGGAATTCCCTGGCAGGGATCCATAAGCGAGACAGTTATTAAGACCTTGTACG